CATTCAATCTCCAAGCAAAATCAGGAACTTCTAATCAATTATACATTTTTTAGTAGAAATTTACATATTGAATATAAAAGACTTATGTAAACTATAGCTCGTTCATCTAGATCTATCCCTCTATCTTTTTAGTTCACTAAAAATTTAGAACGACTGAGTTTTAAAGTTCAATTTTAAAGTATCTGTTTTATAAACAGTATAAAATATCTCATGCAGTAGCAAGGGACACAAAAATTTTTTTTAAAAATATAACACATTGACTATTTCATATACTTGAACAAATTATTTTTTAACCTAGAAAAGAATGTAAGTAGCCCCCTTAATTTGTATCAGCAGTATGCATACCATTTAAAAATCTCTTGAAGTGATTTTGTTTTTCCACTTCATCAGTTTGAATATAAGAGGAACCACCATTGTTATTTTCAGAGACCCCAAGCAAGTTTCCCAACTGACTTTTCAATTTTAATTGCATTTATAAGTGTAAAAGGCTCTGAGCACTAATTTGTTTCCTCAGCAGCTTTTGAAAGGGAATGAACCTAAATGTAACTAAATGAGGTGACACTTTTGAGTTGAGATATAAGGAATTTCCAAACCAGTTCAACAAAAACTGCACTACACTTGCTTCTGATAAAAATGTGAAGGCCAATATAACTGACAGCCTATTATGAAAACTTCTTAAAAACATATTTCAAAGATGCCCATGTAACTTTTTTTTTATCATGAGGTCATTTTTATACAGAACCAAGACCTTAATTGGCAACCATAATTGCTAATATTTTAAAAAGTACTAGTTTCTTTTGGATAGAGGCTTTTTTTTAGAAATTTACATAGGCAGTATATTTCTGTATTAACAGTGGTATTTAAAAAAAAGTTAAGCTGTTCCTATTCAATAGTTTTCTTTCTTTTTTTATCGTTTACCACTTTCATCTCTGATTGTTATAACATTCTCACATACTTTGAGAACCCTCCCACTAATCCATCTGGCATGCTATCATCATTTCTATTCTTTAAGTCCTTCCTTAAGATCAATTTACTATAAGAAAACTTGGTTATTAAACCGAAAGATCAAAAGTCACTCAAATGTAGATACTTTTGTCTATCTACCACTGTCACCCTTTTAAAGTATTACTCCTGTGGCTACATTTAACCTGCCTATGGTAGTTAATGTGTTTTTTCCTAAGATGATACTCCAAATGGCACTAAAACACAGCCACAAACACCAAGACACTTAGTTCTACCACATGTCCCACTATTCTTGGCTTTTCCTCCTTGCCTTTTTTTTTTTTTTCCAAGTAATGTTTCTTTTTATTGAATGGTTTACTCAAAGTAGTAGTAGTTACAAATAAAAAAACACCCAGTAGCATGTGGGAACAAGAAACAGACTTTAAGTCACAAAGCTGTACTTCGGGCCCTCCAGTACTAACTACTCCGCCATCTTGACCAGAATCCTTCTCACCCCCATCCTCTTGAAGACTACTTTATTTATGTTTTGGTGGTAATGAGGTAAGCTACCTTTTTCTGATGGTTCACCAGCTGGTCCTGTCAAACAGCACCGTCTTTCCGTTGACTACACTCATGCTACATGGCTTCGTAGCTCACACATGCCTGAATCATATCATCTGACTGCCTTATGTGTGTTTACTCTGTCAATTAGATAAGACTTCATTTTGAATCTGATTACTCTATTTCATTTCCCAATCAAACGAATGGCTTCATATAATTTGGTGTTCCATAGGTAAAGCAAATATAATGACCAGTAGCTGGAAACAAAGCTATAATATACGTTAACACATGGGTAACAGACTGGAAAGCTCCAAGAGAGCGAGCACTTTAACTTCAAACTTGAAACAGAATTAGAAAACTGGCAGTATTGGTTTTCCAAATGGTGGGTTTCTGTACTCCTTAACATTTAAATAAGGCAAGAAAATTTAGTTATAATTTAAGTTCAAGGTTGTTAACATGCTGTGGCTGTAGAGAAATTTTAAACATATTGCCTTCAAACACGATCA